TAACATTTGGTCTATTTCTTCTCTAAGTTTTAATTCAAAAACTTTCCTTTCCATGTTACCTAGATGCCAGAGGATATACATAGAGAACGGCTCCATGATCTCATCTCAAATACCTGACCCCATACTAGTCTTCAGAAATGACAAGTAGCTATTAGACTGAATGTCAGGCTTTATCCCTGAAAGAACTGGAGGGAACATATTTCATTACTCAAGAGGGAAAATTATCTGAGTTTCCATCACATACAAAGCTTTACAGATGACATGAGACATTTTAGCTGTCAAAGTCAGTAGTGTTTCTAACAAACATGCATAAAATACAGGTTTGCAAAGGCTTTAAACTTTGCCAAAACATGGTTAGATTTTCATGGCAAAACTAGAATAAATGTAACTGACACACAGACCATCATGTTCTCCACTGTAAAGCAGTAACACTAAAGTAGTTCCAAAAAAAGCTCTGTTGGGGCTGTTTTAAGAGACACTAGGAAGATTAAGTATATTTTTTCCATCACTAGAAATACCTGAAATATACTCAGGAGAGGGTAGGACCAGTTTGACACAATACAGGTATCACAGGGATGTATCAAGAGCTCATAACAACTTTAATGACACACACTTCATAGTTCACACAAAAGTCTAGGTTGGAAGAAACCTAGAAGATCATCTGGTCTAACCTTGAAATCAGGACCAGATTACTTTGCACAGGTGTCTGCCAAGCTAGGTTTTCAAGATTTCCAGTGCAGAAATGCTGACCTCTCTGGTCTGATGTTTAGCAACCTCTGCTCGCTGCCTCTTGTCCTTACTCTGCACATCCTTGAGAAGAGAGCACTTCCTTTTCTCATCTCAGCCACCTCATCAAAACTGGAAGTTAGATCACCCCGGGCCTTCTCTCTTCACCTGTGCAAAGCCAGTTCCTTCAACCTTTCCTCATACGTCAGGTTCTGCAACCTCCAATTTCCTCACTGTCCCTCTGTTGGACCCTCTCAGTTTTTAAAGTTTCTGTCTTGAATAGAGCAGTGTGGGTGTCCTGGTTTGACACAATATTCCAGGTATGGTTTAACAAGCACTCAGTAGGGAGGAACCTTCCTAGTTGAGAGTCCTCAGTCTGCTGGCCATACTCCTGCTGAGGCAGTCCAGGACATGGTTTGCCTTCATTGCTGCCAGGGCACACAGCTGGCTCAGGCTCAGCTCACTGCCCAGCAGGACCTTGGGGCCTTTTCAGCAGAGCTGGCCTCCAGCCACTCAGACCTGAGCCTCTTTTGCTGCTTTGGTTATTAGGTCTCAGGTGCAGGACTTCATGTTTAGCTCTGTAGAGGTTGTGGAGCCTCCATCCCTAAAGATATTCCAAGCCCAACTGGACACAGCCATGAGCAACGTGATCTAACCGATGTTGCTTTGAGCAGGAGTTGAACTAGATGGACTCCAGAAATCTCTTTCAACCTGAGTTTTCTGTGGGTCAATGACATTTTGGAAGCTTTACATTAAAAAATTATCTTCTTTTTTTTTTTTTTTTTAATTTCCCACTGCAATGTTTAAATGTTCCTCCCCTATCCAATCATATTTTTTACAGTAAAAAGTTCAGTCAGAGCGCAGAGTAGAGGGGTAGAATCACCTCCTGAGACCTGCTGGCCACACTTCTTTTGATGCAGCCCAGGATGCAGTTGGCTTTCTGAGACGCCAGCATTCACTTTCAGCTCATGTTGAGCTTCTCATCCACAAGCACTCCCAAGTCCTTCTCCTCAGGGCTGCTCTCCAGCTATTCTCCGCCCAACCTGTATTTGTGCCTGGGATTGCCATGTCCCAGGTGCAGGACCCCTGGGACAGGTGCAGAGCTATTGACACTTCATGCCCTCTTTGGAGTAATAGGCATAAACGCAGATGTTCTGCACAACCTCTACAAAGAATGTTCAAGGGAAAACAGTACATCTAAGCTGTAACTTACCTGACCAAGACTGTAATGATCTAAATTTAGAGTAATAAGAATTTTTAATTTAATAGCAGAAACTAGAATGAACAGATGAGGTCATGTTTCAACTAATGAATGTAATATTCACTATTATTGTCAGGAGACACTTATCTATAAGACTAATGCCATTACTGTTATTTATATTAAGAAAATCACTAGAAAAAAACCCCAAAGCAATGCGCAATAGCATTAGAGAATTTACAGAATAAGAAATAAACCCACGTATTGACAGGATACCAGGGAGGCCAGCTTATCTCTACATTAATAAATATATATTTAGGATATGTAAACCAAAAAATCTCTGTTTTTAATTCTCCTAGTTTTGAGCTACTAGTTCTGTTTCTCTTCATTTTTTTAATGTATTTACTTATTTTTTTTAGAGCAGAGCTCCTTCTATAGAATCATAGAACCACAGAATTCTGTAATTCACATTGACCAATGAACAGATTTATCATGTAAGTATAGGAGATACATAGCCACCTAGGTAAAGTACTTTACATGGGAATATGATTAGAGCTGCATTTCAAGCCCAGACATCCATGGAAAAGTGGAGATGCTCAAGATCTTGATGAGTTACTTATATTGGGGTACTGTTTGTGATCCTGGATACTGATTTGAGTGCAGATAAATCAAAGATATTAATTTTTGTTATGTTTCCACTTGAGCGGTAGATTTTTTTCTCCTGTAACTCTTTGCATGGGAAAGCTAGAAAACCTGCACATTACAAGGTGGAAAGACTATGTGCTAGTCCTAGACATTCTCCCATGGTAACCTAGACTGACCTGAATGTCTGGAGGACACAAGTTCCTAGAGGATCCCAGTACATTCTGAGTCCCCTTCTGCATCACCTCCATTCTCCTACTAGTTATAGATTCTTTGGGAGTAAGGATTTCAGGGTTGACATACATAATTTTATATGAATATTAGCATGTGATCAAAGACTTTCACACTTTGAAGTATGTTGTCCTTTCATAAGGAGTCAGGGTTGAAACATATATTTTAATCTTCCTTAAAAAACAACAGACCTTTCATTTTTTTTAATATTTCACCAATTTTTTCATTGATTCTTAGAGTTCCGTGTTACCCTTCAACTCTGCACACCAGATGCCCTCCTTATATTTTGTGAATGATTAAGGGAACATAATTTCAAAACAGGGCTAACAGTTTGCACTGGATTGCAATAAACATGAATTTTGAACTACTTCAAAATATAATAAAGCAGTAAACAGCTCTAGAAAAGAAAGAGAATCAGGGTATTTTGATCAAATACAGCAATCAAATAACTGTATTTGCTCCCATAATAACCTGCACTGTTCCCTCAATAGTCACACTTACTGAATATTTACAACTCATCCATGTCTACTTCACCACTGTTTCATTTATCAGAATGGAAGCAATTCGGAATAATCATTATGAAAAAATAAGATATCCTTAAAAAAAGCCAAATCAAGCCTAAGAATATGATTCAGGGCTTCTACTTTCTGATAGTATAACTTTAGAAATTATTTCATCACTTTATTTGAAAAATGGGTATCATCCAAGTCAATGAATAGAATTCCTTTTTTTTCTACAGCCAAAATTCAATATCCTTTTAAATAGGGTATCTCTTCTCCTACCAAGGAGTGGAATAAGAGGAAAAAAAGGGACAAAAAAGAAACCCTTACATGCAAAGGGACAGGCTTCCATCAATACAACAACATGCAGCTGCATCTCTATGGTATTTTTTCAGCTTAAATTATTCTTACTTTTCACATTATTTTTCTACAAAGGCGACAGTTGACAAGCAACATAGAAAGCGTTTATGAATCCTTTTACACATAAAGTATGCTATAGGCAATAACATGGTCCAAGAATATTCTAATCCACTTCCCCACAAGCTCCCCTCAAAGCCTCACGCTTTCGTCCTTCTGTCCTGTTGCTAATCCATACAAACTTCATGGATAAGGGATGCCCTTGGGATTTCAGCCATCACTGCACCTATCAGTCCAAACCATCCAATTAAACCTTTTAAAGACCCATCAGTCAGTTGCATCTTGAAAGTAAATGTTTTTTGAAATTGTCTAATACACATACTGAACCTGGATAGCAGTACAAGATCAGAAGTTGGATTTTTGGCAGTATGAAATTACTGGGGCTAGTTTTCTTAGAAAATATTCACAGGGTAATTGTACACTATTTATTTTATATATATATATTTCATTTAAAGATACCAAGAGGTTACTGGAACTTAAAGGCTAATTTGTAGTTTTCTGATAAAAAAGCATTAGACTTGCCTTCAAGAGATCTAGACTTACATCCATATGCTGTCACTGCTTGCCATGTGACCTTGGCTAAGTCATCTTGTTTCAACTTGCCAGTTTTAACATAATATCTAATGTTGATGAGACATAAAGCTAAAGGTGACTGGATAGAAGACAACAGTACAAGCACAGAGCCCTGCCCTGTTTACGGATTAGCTAACTTGAAATCTACTGACTGACTTGGGGAGCTGATAACAGTAACTTACAAGACAGCAAGAAAAACCCGTGCTCAAATATCTTCTTTTGCATCACAGAAGTGAGTGACAGAGAAAGCAGGGAGAATCTCATTCAGTGAATTCTGAATTTTTACCCTTAAAAATCCTTGCTGTTGACAGAGCTCGTAAATCTTGATGAGTTCTCGGAAAAATGTTACATATTCAATCAGTGCTGCCATTGCAACTGAGGCATCTAGCATTTTCAGGATTTGTTCAATACTTAATTAATAACTAAAGCTAAACATCTGATTAAGCAGCCAGTTTTACACATTCCAAAATACTAATGATTAAAGAAAATCAGTCTGTCACTTCACACACATTGGGGTTTTTGTGCTCATCTGGAACAAACAGAATGATACCTCACTGCATCACTGAGATTTAAAGAAGTTTCAGTGTCTGGATTCAGTTTTCAACCCAATTCTTGCTGCACTGTTTGCAAACTAGACATATCAAGAACATTCTTTTCCCCAGGAAGAGTGGTAAACAAGCAATGCTTCAGTTCACAAGAAAGGCATTACTTACTTTGTGAAAGTTCCTGAAATATGCTGCCTTCTCATCTGGAAATTTCTCTAGCCTCCTGGGTCCTTTACTGGAAGCCTTCTTGAAAACCAACCAGCAACGCCTGAAAATCTGCAAACAAAATTCAAGAATTATATCAGTTTTTATTTAAAGATGGATGGTATCACAAATGCATTCAGTTACATAATTGACTTAAAAAATTTTAAAATGTTAATATTTTGTTTTAAAACTCTAGAAAATTCTGAGAACATCAATTATTTCTAAATAAGTAACCCAAATTCCTCGATTCATGTACATATTGATTGTCAGTCCTTTGTAGATTATTCTGTTTCAGTTTCTTTCATGCATGCCAAATTTGACAATTTCTGAGATGCAAGTAAATCCATGAGCTTTGCAAATGAAACGAATTATAAGGTTGTAACTGGAGAAAGCACTTTCAGAAATGACTTCATGCATTTCTAGCTTTCACTTTTATACTCTATTTCTATGAGAGTGTCGATACCTTTGATAAACATTCATTGCAGCTTTTAACACAACACAGTAATCTCTAAGATAGTATACAAAGAAAGGAAGCACAAAGTTGAAATAAGCACCAATGTGACCATTACTGGACAACAACGTCTAGTCCTCTCACTTAATTGAATGACAAACATTCTAAGGAAAAAAACAGATTATTAAAGTTTAGGAACAATAAAAAAAAAAAAATTAAATCCTTCAGAAAGCACAAAACAATGTTATCCTCTAATTTTAATGAGAAACACACTAGATTTTGCTTAAAATGCATTTTTAAGCAATGAGTGTACTTTATTAGACTATTTACCAAGTGTTCTGGTAGTATTGCCATAATCAAAGGTTAAAATCAGGACTGAATCAACAAATAAGAATACATTGGTAGCTCAAAGAGAAGCTGATCAGGGATAATCAGGATAGGGGATTAGATATCAAGCCAGTTTTATAATCTATAAAAATAGTTCACATCATCCTCCTCTTCAGTACTTGCACAGCTCTATAAACAATACCATATGGAATTCTATGTTATTATGTCAAGGATACATTAATAAACAACATCAACCCAATGCTAGTTAATGGCTCTACTGCCCATATATGGGGAAAAGACTTATTTCTTCAGAAATTCTACAAAATTTAATGACACAATGCAAGAAGTACAGAACTATTTAACTTGGATCAGATCAAACACATCTCTCATTACCAAAGAAAAAATAAAAAACACCATCATGAGCAGGGAGAGCTGAAATGAAGATTCTTCCCCTCAGTGGGATGCTGTCCAAACTGATTATAAGCAGTAAATACAGTGTCATTAAATAATTAAGCTTAATTATCTACATTCTGATCTAATACTGACACTATCTTCTTGTCATTGTCTCAGATAAATATTATCAATCAAAATATTTTTTTTCTTTTAAAATCCTAACATTGGACTACAGTATCAATATGTTTAATTATGAAGACTTTTGGAAGAAAACAGCATTTAATGAAATCCTCTGCAAGTATACTTCTTACAAAGCAGACAAATTTTAGGTTTTTTTTCTACTAAGGTTGTAAAGTGGCAACTGTACAACTGTACTTCCTGCTTCAGAAATTACTTCACCTAACCTGGGGGAAAGCAAAGACAATATCATATTTCCTGAAAAAAAAATGACATTACACTGTGGGACATCATAAACCATCTTTATTAGATAGTACTTTCTTCAAATAACATCTTGGCAGTGTTGCAACTTATTTTACCAAAGCCACAGCACTGCTCCCACAGTTACCTCTTGCATAACTCACATTAACTCTTCAGAGTGTTACAGCAAAAATCTCCATTTTTGCAGGTAACACACAGGTAGAGGATATTCACTCAATTTTGACCTTACTAGAAGCAATAACACAAACTGTCCAAAATTGACATATTTATTCATTCAACAAAAGTGTGGCTTTTAATAATACTCCTGGATCTTCTGAGAGTTTTCTGGGGTTTTTTTTTCAGTCTATGTGTATTCTCAGTTCATTTCTCTGAGGAAAGTCTTTTCCTAAGAGGTTCTTTATCAAGGTAAAAACCATAGCTTTCATTTCAAATCTTGTATTGATTTCTTTATTTCCATTATCTGCCTTAAATGGCTTACAGTCCTCACAGACTTCTCTTTAGAAAAACAGAACAACCTACATTCCTTATCATCAGTGGTGGTGGGTTTTAGCGCAGACATGGAATCCACATTTTACCGATGACCTGAATTTTGGACAGCTGGTAATAAGGTAACAGAAGCTTTATATTAACTGACAGAGTAATTTTTTTTCAGGTTTTTTTTTTGTTAGTTTGTTTTTTAATATGGCACAGTTGTATTTTGTTATAATGCAAAATACCAGTTAGCTCCAGTACTGTAGTAATATCCCTAATAAATGGACAACTAGACAAGCGAAGTTAAGGAGTCAGATTTCTCCTTGCAATTATAAAAATATTTTCCAGATAAAATGTCATCTAATGCATACTACAAAGCAATTCCTTCAGTGATAAACGAGCAGGCTTTTTTTCACTGGATATCATTCTGGGACAGTATAGGAACTAAACTGACAAAATTCAAGAGGGAGGCTTGGACCCCCGTATGAGTGAGGATTTCAAGGAATCCATTGAAGAGGGCTAGTTGCTAGATATCTTTAAGGATGCTCCTCATTAGGCCTTTTCCCAAATTTCAGCATTGGGATGAACTCAAAGGCTTCAGCATTTAGACTGCAGGAATGAACAGCCCTTGTTTTTAAAGGAGAACACTGAACATCAAGAGGTGGGGACCATAATTTTTACCTTTAGGCTGTTAACTGCTTCAATGTATTGACATCTGTTTTTTCCAGACCTTTAGTGAGAGGAGAGATCTGAAGAATGGAATGGCTTGAAGAGGACTCCTGATTTGGTACGAACATACACCATGGTACACCCTTGCCTTCGGAATCTTGTTTTTTTAACCTACAATCACTTTTAAAGCTGGTATAAACACATACAGTTCCACTGCACTTCAGCAGTATTTTATCTGATTACATCAACAGACAGTTTGTATCTCAATGTTTGAAAAAGCATTAGCATATGAATTTACCTATAAATATGAATAAATAGGTGCAGATGTGAGCACACAGAAAACAAACATTTGCCTTTCATAAGGCACCTCATTGTTATACAGAAGCCTACTCAATTATTCACGAACTGTGAGATACTCTTTTATCCCTGGCCTAGTTTAGGATGCCATTGGCTGTAATCAAAACTTCTGAAAGACTTCTAAAGTCCTAAAATAATTGGGGTAACCATTGTGAAAGAAATCAGTATCAACTCTTTAACAACAGAGAGAATGAGAACGATTTGCAATGTTGCCTCCAAAATATATAGCATTTCCTGTGAGATTTAAGTGCCTGTTTTTCACACATGCATAGCTGAAGAAATGCCAAATATTTGATCATTTAATCAGTTTTACAGCATTCTTGGATGAGCGCTCACTGATCAATAAAAATGACACAAAAATTTTGTATCAAGGGTAAACAAGATGAAGTCTAACACTACACTGTAGCTTTTTTTTCTGGAGAAACTGAGAAAGATAGCATTAAGTATAGTTGATGTTTTGGTTGCCTTTTGTTAATGTATCAGTTAGAAGGACCAAAATTTGTTCAAAACAAACCTGAGAAGGCTTCTATTGAAATTACCTGCTGAGTCCACGCCACGGCATAGCAGAACCTCTTTAAGTGACACCCTTCCTCTCTCAGTTTTACAAGATGAACAAAGCAGAAAAAAAATATTCCTCTAGATTCCACTACCTGTGCAACATTATGTCAGTAAGCAATGGCAGTAACTCCGCACACTTGTGGTTTAGTGAGACAGATTCACTGTCCCTTGCAATATCTTATGGGGATGATTTTCATTATGATGAATTAAAGAATAAGGCCAGGAATAGCTTGAAGGTTTGCTTACCTAAGTATGACTTAGCAAATGTAGCCTGACTGACCACAAAGAGGGGCCTACAACCCCTGCAGAGCTACGATAAGTAACAAGACAGGAAGGCTGGCACGTAGGCAACAACAATCATGAGGCCAGCACAATGTTATCTTATCTCTGACAAATGGAGAATTCCAAGAAGGAGGTAGCGTATGGTAATGAATTACTGGAAACTAATGAATATGTTAAAACACCTTACATGAATATGTATGTATGTATGCATATATGTTGTCAAACTGACTCTGTCTGGCACGCACATTTGGAGGAGCGATCCCCTGTGCGTCCAGCGCTGCAATAAAGAATACCTGTTTAATAGTCATCCCGGCTATTGAGTCCTGATTTCATCTTTCACGGCATCAATGATGTACAAGCTTGCAAAGGACAGAAGCCTCTGTTCATTAAGATGGACTCTGAATAGCCTTATCTTGTTAGAGAGAGAACAGGATTCCAGATCTGCAATAACATAATCTTATCAACGCCAAATGATTTCTGAACTCTTTCCAGTCAGAAATTCGACTTCCAGTGTTGCTCTATTTCTATCAATATTTAGAGATCACTTCATTATATTTTACTTGAAACACTGCAATATACCAATTCATGATGAAAGTCTCTGCATAGTTGTCTTTTCTTACTTTTTCTTCTGCTTAATGCACCTCAGCTCACATTTCCAGCATGTTTATATTTTTTAATATTCTTGACTAATATAGGCAAAAGTTTGACCTCTGAATGGATCTTTATTCTTCATGTTCATATCATTCAGTTCTGTTTTATTGTTGCCATGGTTATTAATAATAAAGCCGTTAAAACATATTACAGCAAATCCATTGACTAAATTAGTTTTTTTAGAAAGAAGAAAATATTTTCCTTTTCCTAAAACAATTTAAAATAATTAGTTTACATTGGGAATTTTACATAGGATTTTCCATTTTCCATAGATTTCTAAAGCCTTTTCCTAGTCATTTACAATAGATGCTATTGGGATTAACATTTCTTTTCATCCACAGCTGTAGCTAATAAAGTTCTGCCAGTCATCACTAATATTTAGAGAAGGGATATTTATTGACACATCTCTACAAATTATTCCTGAATTTCCACCACAAAAAAACCCAGCAGAAACAAAACCCCTCTCATCT